GTGATGTTGATGGCTGCTGGTAGGCGGGACTTCGGACGCCGCGAGGTCAAACCGGTGGGGGACGATGAGGCCGCTCACCGCCAACACGCTTTCAGTAGTATGGCACCGCGTGATGCGCCGAGGACGGTGGCGTTCGAGCCGGAACGGCAGCGCGGCGAGCGGCGGACGGCGGCGAGGCGCCCATGGTGGTGGCGTTGATGGTGACCAGTCCGCGTGGGAGTGGCCGATGGTCCGAATAGCGTGGTCACGAGCTTTCGGAGGCGGGAAGGCGGTGGAGGTCGTGGGGGCGGTACTCGAGGAGGGCGTGGTAGCGGAGGGGCGTCGGTGGTCGGCGGTCGACGCGGCCGCTGACGCCGACGACGAACGGCGACGAGAGTTGCCGTTGCGACGAGGTAGCGTCGGCGTCGAAGCCGCCCATGACCGGCCAAGACGGGCTAAACGCATGACGGCCCATGAAAGCTTGGTCCGGGAGGGCAAAGACGCCGCCGCACGTTGCCGCGACGGCCTCCAGCGCCGGTGACGCGTGCTTCTTGCTGCTCGCCGTGGCCGTGGCCGCGTCGGGATGGAGAGAGAGGAGGAGAGGAGGAAGAAGAAGATGACATGTGGGGCCCGCGTGTCAGTGATAGGGGTGATGAAGTATACGGACCGTCAGATATCGCGTCTGCGGTGAGCCGGAGGATCAGGTCCATACGTATTCAGTGGATATTTTTATAGGAAACGAAAAACTATAATGACATGCTTTAAAATAAACAAACAATAATAACGTTTCTTCGAACATCGAAAATTATAATGACACTAATCAAATAACCCCTTTATTATCGGGAGGATACATACAAACCAAGACGCGCTCTCACGTGCAGCCCACAGAGGTCGAAGCGGCAGTCACCTGCGATGAGCAAAGCAGGTGGTGGTCCCGGCTCGGCCCCGGGCCCGACGGCCGCGGCGGCGGCGGCCGCGGTGCAGAAGCAGAAGTCGCTGCTGCAGAAGGCGGACGCCGACGTCTCCAGCCTCGTCGACAATTTCTCCTCCCTCATCAACATCGCCCGAGTACGTCCGTGCGCCCTCCTTTCCCCCCTCGAATCCGGCAGCCTGAAGCACTCCGGACTAACCCTAGCTCGGAATGCCATGGTTAGGTCAACGATCCGCCTGTGCGCAACTCGCAGGAGGCCTTCCAGATGGAGATGCGCGCCGCCCGCATGGTATGGACCTGCTCGCTGCCCACCAACCGTTAGCGGATTTGATTCTGAAACTGTGTCTGAATCAGGCATCCCTTGTTAGTTATTTTTCTAGATACATGAGCAAAATTTTGGAGCGAGGATATTTATACACCAAAAAAATCTGCACCGTGGTTTCTAAGCCGTTTTAGCATGCAGTGCCCCAAAATTGGGGTTAGAGGAGAGACAAGTAAATTGCATGGCCTGATTTTTCTTATAAAAGCAACAGAGTATTGCTTTCTCGTTTCTCTGGAAATATTACTTTCGCTTTACTTTTGTGATTCTGCTGGGGCATGGGAAGCTAGAAGGCTGCACATTTGTTCCAAGCATACTATACTATAAAAGCAGTGCATGAGGTTCTTCCAGGTTTTAAGTTCTGACAAGCTCAACTTGGCTCCAATCTAGTTAATTTACTGGATAAGGAGGAGTTGGGTTCAGCCATCTGTCCTTTGTGTCATTTTCATCAGTTTATATCATGCACAACATAGAAGCTGTTGGGTGATGTAATCTTATTATAGCTTGACTGCTTGAGATAGCCAGGCTGTAGAATCATAAAGGATATGCTTCCTCTGATCGATGAAATATTGGTCCTTCTAGTTTGTCCTAAGTCAAACTCTTTTACCTTTGACCATCAATATCTAAAGTTTTGTATAGATTGAAAGCACACATTATAAAAACTAAAGAATATTTAATGATATGTATGACTCTCTTATATTTAAGGTAATATATACAACAACAACAACAACAAAGTCTTTAAATCCCAAACAAGTTGGGGTAGGCTAGAGTTGAAACCCAGCAGAAGCAATCAAGGTTCAGGCACATGAATAGCTGTTTTCCAAGCACTCCTATCTAAGGCTAAGTCTTTGGGTATATTCCATCCTTTCAAGTATTCTTTTATTGCATCTACCCAAGTCAACTTCGGTCTTCCTCTGCCTCACTTCACGTTACTATCCTGGCTTAGGATTCCACTACGCACCGGTGCCTCTGGAGGTCTTCGTTGGACATGTCCAAACCATCTCAACCGGTGTTGGACAAGCTTTTCTTCAATTGGTGCTACCCCTAATCTATCACGTATGTCATCGTTCCGAACTCGATCCCTTCTTGTGTGACCGCAAATCCAACGCAACATACGCATTTCCGCGACACTTATCTGTTGAACATGTCGTCTTTTCGTAGGCCAACATTCTACACCATACAACATAGCAGGTCTAATCGCCGTCCTATAAAACTTGCCTTTTAGCTTCTGTAGTACCCTTTTGTCACATAGAACACCAGATGTTTGGCGCCACTTCATCCACCCTGCTTTGATTCTATGGCTAACATCTTCATCAATATCCTCGTCTTTCTGTAGCATTGATCCTAAATATCGAAAGGTATCCTTCCTAGGCACTACTTGACCTCCAAACTAATATCTTCCTCCTCCCGAGTAGTTGTGCCAAAGTCATATCTCATATACTCAGTTTTAGTTCTACTGAGTCTAAAACCTTTGGACTCCAAAGTCTCCCGCCATAACTCCATTTTCTGATTCACTCCTGTCCGGCTTTCATCAACTAGCACTATATTGTCCGCGAAAATCATACACCAAGGGATGTCCCCTTGTATGTCCCTTGTGACCTCATCCATCACTAAGGCAAACAGATAAGGGCTCAAAGCTGACCCTTGATGTAGTCCTATCCTAATTGGGAAGTCATCCGTGTCTCCATCACTTGTTCGAACACTAGTCACAACATTGTTGTACATGTCCTTAATGAGCCCGACGTACTTCGTTGGGACTTTAAGGTAATATATCTGTATAAATATTGCTACTCAAAATTAAAAAAGTCTCCAATCAGTGGAAGTAATATGCTAAGATAGATGTCTGTTTGTAATATTACATTGGATACTCCATGGTGATATGTAGTGCAAAATGTGATACTGTTATAGGTGTTACCTGCCATGGGGTTGTGGTATCGCCCAAATGAAAATGAAGGAGCTAGATTAATAAGGATATTATTGAAACAGGGACCAGTTGGGTAGAAGCAAGATCTGATTATGTATAACTGGAGAAGTGTAGATGTACATAGCACTATCTCAGAAAGATAAACCTGGGTTGGGGCATGAGAACCTGGATTTCATTTCATTTAAAGCCATGCATTTAGAGCCGATGTTCCATGATAGACAGTAGACACAGCTTATAGACATGATAAGAGAAGTTTACCTTAGAATTGACCCTACTTAGGTCATTATAGACAAAGTGGTCATGGAAGATAGGTGAATAACCATGCCCCCCCCCCCTTCCATATGCTATAGAGGAAAGTGATGTTTTGCTTAATTGTCTCTGACATACGCAGTCAGTTATTTACCTAAAGCACAACTCTAGAATATGATGAAAATGGCAAGAAGAATCATGTATCAACTCTTGAACCTAAAAATTTCTGATATTCCCTTATGTCTTTATCTGTTTAGGTACATTCAGCAGACTCTCTGTTGAAATTAGTGTCGGAACTTAAGAGGACAGCCATCTTTTCTGGGCTTGCTTCATTGAATGAGAATGTGGATAGGAGGATTGAAGTGCTGGGTCAGCAAGCTGAGGGAACTGAGAGAATGCTGGAGAGGATTGGGCAGGAGGCAGCAGCAAGCCTCAAGGAGCTAGAGGCACACTACTACTCATCTGTTGTGCGGTCACCATCCTATGATTGAGGTTAATCTTATCATTCCAGGATAAAATTGCTCGTCTTTCCAATAGGCACTCATTTCACATATGGTTTAACAGCAATTATTTGTTCTATCATTGGAGTATCACTAAGTTGTAGCAGTGTTAATGTTCGGTGGAATGATTTAACCTCAGTGCTAGCTGTATCTTGCTTTTACATATATATAGGTGCATGATGCATAGTTCATAAGGTTATATATCTGTTTGATTATTTATCTAGTATATTTTTTTTCTTTTTTTGATAATAATTTAAGGATAAATAGTTTACAAAGGAGAAGATAAAATCATAGAAAATGAAATTTCTAATTCAGATTAGAAGGAAAAAAGAATGAATATAAGTGTTATGGTATGATTTTGAATACTCTAATAAAGGGAGGAGGGAGGCTGGAGAGAAAAACTTTTGGATATGTACATTGCGAATATATCAACAATAGAATCAATTTAATTCTGAATTGCAATAAGTGAGTGGGGTATCTCCAATAGAGATGAGCTGCTAGACTATGTCAAATAATGTAGTCAATGGTTTGAAAAAAACTAAGAGATGGTGAAATTATACAAGGAATCCTGGTTTCAAAAAGAAAAAGTCTACATAACCCCCTGACATATTGATGGTGGTCTACATAACCCCCTGAACTATAAAACCAGGTATTGTACACATTAAACTTTGTAAAACCGGACAAATAACCCCCTGGGTGGTTTTGCTAAGTGGTTTTGCATATGTGGCGCTCCATCCTGTCTATCTTTGATGACGTGGCTCCTGGCAGCATGTGGAAGGGGAAAAAAGTCCCCTGTTTTTCGTATCTGGCCGGGACTGCGAGAGGCCACCGCCGGCGGAGCATCGAGCGGCGATGATGCATCTTGCGGCGGCCAGCGGCCGCGCCTCTTGCCTTGCGGCGGCTGCCTGCTGTGGCGCGCGGCAGCTGCGGTCAGGGGTGGCGGGCGGCGGCTGCGGCCAGGGGTGCACGGACCACGACGAGATGCTCGTCGTCTACAACTACTCAGCGTGTTGCTCCCGCACGGAGTTCCTGTGTTGAGGAACGAACCCCGCAGCGACGGGAACCACGTGGTGGTGACCGCGGGGCATCTTTGGCTACATGTCGTCGGAGTACATGGACACCAGCGAGGGGACCGAAAACCATGATGGCCGACGTCTACAGCTTCGCCGTGGTGGTGCTGGAGGTGGTGACCGACACGATGGCTGTGGACGGGAGATTGCCGGAGGTTCTTCTCATCAGGAAGGTCCAGCGTCCAGCTCTTTGAGGTTTGAGCAGCTGGCGGCTTGGCGCCACACATATGTGGAGTCCGCCGCGCTCACGCTCGCCATGGTCGCCGTGCGAACGTCCGCTGAAGGAGGCGACGGGGGCACAGGGCCATCCGGATGCTCGGAGCCGCAGCCGCCCGCGTCGATGGAGGTCGCGGCGCCGCCAAGAAACAGCGGAACAACGACGACGAGTTCACACTCCTCACCGCAGCCGTTGCCTCCTGGGAGCGAAACGGCCGAGCCCTGGGCCTCTCGGGCGCCAGACATGGCCGAGCTGTTCGAATCCATTAGGGAGTTCATCTCCCTGCACATCATGGTGTACTACAAGATTAAGCGTCTGAAGAGCAAGTTCCAGCACTCGCATGGGCACGGGCTCCGCCATTATTGCGTGCACCCGCACAGATCGATCTATCGATGATCTGACGCGTGCATGGGCACGGGCCCTGCCATTATTGCAGCCTGTGGCTACAGCATGGCCGGATCAGCCTACCGCGGCGCTTGCGAGCGTGGCGGACTCCGCAGATGTGCGGCGTCTGCGCTTAAGCTCGCTACCGTGGGGGATAGGGTTTGGGCTCGAGTTGCTGTCGTGCGGGGCGGCCACTTCTACGATCTGGGAGGGGAGGACACCGCGAGCGCTGCGTCGGTGTCCATGGCGTTTTCGGACGAGCGTCCGGATGACATCGTCGAGGCACGACGTGTGGATGACAGCAGAGCCCCACCACCAGCATGTCTTTGCTGGCCAAGTTGGAGTGCCATGTAGGCAAAACCGGATGCCAAAACCACTTTAGGGGGTTATTGGTCCTGTTTTACAAAGTTTAATGTGTTGTGTTCAATACCTGGTTTTATAGTTCAGGGGGTTATGTAGACCACACTCAATACGTCAGGGGGTTATGTAGACTTTTTCCAGTTTCAAAACAAAGGAAAATGGGGATACCAGAACTGGTATATGCTACACTCAATTAGCGTACCTAATAAAAGTACATAAAATGGATCTTCTGTCATGGCTTTTACATGGGAAGTATGAATGCTAGAGGACCTTGTATAATGGACTTGCTGATGGCTATCAAATTGATTGTCTTGACCCATAAACTTGACTGGTCTTGACTAGTGAAGACTGAAGACAGATTTCTTTTGCTTTATTGACTCCATACACTTGAATTCGCTACAGAAACTTGTCTACTGAAATAATGGGAACTGTACCAATGCAGCAAGAAATTCTTATAATCTGTTTAATCTTTAGATGTTAACCATTTTTATTTATAATATTGAATATTGCCTACTGATATTATTTGTAGAAGCTGTATATTGATTAATTTTCTTTTCTTCATGGTTGCAGGGTTATCTCAGGTTATCAGTTGATAGACTTGGCACAATAACTATGGTTGGTGTATCTTTTGTAGAAAATACTTTAATTTATTAGTTACAACAACTATAGTCACTTCTGAAGGCTATTGTATTACTTTTGACTATACTAACCCATAAACGTAGTCATTTCTCTTTTCTTTTTCTCACCATTCTCACCATACGTTAGTATTTGATGCTTATGAGGTGGATAAGATGCTTAAGTTTGCACCGATACTTAATATGTGCTAATAAGGTAGTTGAGTATATCTCATTAGGTTGATAAGGATAGGTAGGGCTCGATAGAGAGGTCGAGCCAAAGGAAAGGATCGTCTTAGATTATCTGAACAACTAGGATGAGCTAGGCTAGGAAAAAGGGTATCTCTTGTTTGAGAAGTTTCAACTAACCAGGTTTTGATGCATGATTGCAAGTGGCTAGGCTCCTTCGGGAGATCATCTAAGGGTTATGGGATAGGATTGGGTTTTACAAGGAATTATCGAAAAAAATTGACAAGGTTGGGTTTTTGGGTCATTACAATTCCAAATGGTGAAGGAATTTCCATGCCGATGTAGCTTTGCTTTATGGCAGCGACGCAGCGTTGACGATGACAAATGTGATTATTTCTATTTTGACTTTTGTTTCCCTCTAAGGGGACTGGAATGTCGTTTTTCCCAATAGCATTGATTTTCTTTCCCTCGAACACATACAAAGGTTTCCTTTTAGCTCTAGCAACCTTCTGTCCATATTCATACTGTTAAAAGGTTTGATGAATAGGATATCTGTAGAACTTCCAGTGTCAATGAGTATATTGTGTAAAGTGTACCCTGCTACATTTGCATCAGTGTGTGGGTAATCCCAAACCTTCATGTCTTCTTCAGTGAAGGTTATTGGTGCCATGGACCATGCTAGTCTGTTTTATGGGAGCTGGGGCGCTATGTTTAGCATCCTTTGGTAGTCTTTGTGGACACAGTTTGTTTTCGTGGTCTTGATTCGAGGTGATTGTGAATATGTGACTGAGAGATTAAGATGTTGTTAACTTCAGTAACTTGCAAAACACTATTGGGCTGATTTTCTTGTTTTGGAATATTCTGCTGCTATAGTTAAGTGGTTGACTAGTGTACCGTTGCTCTAAAATTTGGCGAGAAGAGGTGGCGGGTACTACACTATACTAGACTGGGCTGAATCAGGATGCAGGCTGATGTTGGGCCACCATTTGTTACTTGAATTTGCGTAGTGGTGGTTGACCCAACAGACTGGAGGACTGGGTGTGTGAAGCTGGAATCTTCCTACGGAGCAGTCATGTGATAGATATGATTGGTTGGATTTGATCTTGATGTTTCTTTTGTCTTCAATTCCATTTTTTTTAGAATTTGAATTCTCTCGAAATGTGCCCTACGTTTTCTCCGCATGTGAAACAGTATGGTGGTACTCTCCATGTTCTCTTTCCACCTCGGCCTCCACGACCTCTATTGTAATGGCCTCCTTGGCTTCCGCGAGGGCCGAGAGGCATTCCCATTACCTTTTTGTTCTTGGCTTTGCTCTTCACTTCTTCAGGTTGGGACTTTTTGTTCGTGGCTTTGCTTTCACTTCTTCAGGTTGGGACTCCGGGGTTTGCTCGAGGTTGTTAGTATGATGGGCATAAGCTTTGATTTTATTTTTTTTTGACTTTGTAGCTGCCGCAAAGACTTGGGTGCTGTTTGGTTGCATCATGTAAATGTAAACGCAAACGGTAATAGAAAGCACTGCTAATGGAAACAATTCAAGCCAATACTGGCTTTGTTTGGTTCCTGTCTGTAATAGAATCAGATAATGGAGACCAATAGGTCGCCTTCATCCACGGGACATTACTCAGCGAGTCAGCGCCACGTCAGCAGCCAGTGTCCATCTCCTGCGTACACACCCTGCGGCGGAGGAGGAGACGCGCGGAGTGGGCGAACTTTGGCTACGCGGCACGGGGCGGACAGTCGGACACCAGCGGCCCGCGGTGGGGAAGGTCTCCGGCGACGCGATGGAGGTGGACTGTGGCGGCGCAGGCCACCTTCCCCGGCAAGGATCCGTTGGAAGCAGTACGTCGCCGGCGGTGGTAGGCCTGTCATCGGTGGCGCCTTGGCGGAGACTATGCACGAAGGGGTTATCACTTTTGTCATCGAATCATCATCTGTTGGGAGACATGTAGGCCGTTAACTATTAACTCCATAAGGTGGGCGGTATGGGCTTTACACTAGCTGGTAACAGATCACACCGCAAACTGATTACTGCCCGTCTAAAACAAACACAAACTAACGGTACGGGATACCCTGTAAACAGATCACAGAGCAAAACCTCCAAACCAAACAGCATCTTAAGGCCTTTGTTTGGATGCACATGTGTTGAGGTGGATTGAGATGGATACATGTATATCCAAACAAGACCTAAATGTTGTCGCTGTTTGTTGAACTAGCGGAGGTGTGATCGCCGCTTCGCATCTCCAGTCTCCTACGATAGTTGGTGTGTGACTTTGAATATTCAGCCATAACTTCAAATAATTTATTTACTAATGCTGGTGGATTTCTTGCAAAGTGTGTCTCGCTCTATCCTACACCAAGCCCTTCGACTGCTGTGGCGATAACGGTTGCATGTGGTACATGAGAAGCCTCATTCGATTTGCTCCTACAGCTAGATGGACCGCGATTTGCCGGTTTGAGTGAAGTGGTATCAGACTATCCGTCGTGAACAATACCATCAATTACTAGTATGAATAGCTTTGAGTGCAACAAACGTTGTCCCCTACGGATACAACGGTTGTCTAGTAATTGGCGATGAACTTGCGATGGTTGGCTTGCCCGTCTGATCTTGGTACTTTGGGTTTGTAATACGCAGGCCAAGACTGTGTTCTTGCAAATGATTTGCGAGAGGAGAGTTCTTGTCAAACAATAACATGTCCCTCAAGTGTGCTTGAATTTACGTGCTGTTTGGTTCGGCAATACGTACAGGAATAAAAATGGGAAGTGGAACTCATTCATGCCGCTACCTGTTGCAAAGTAATCAATACTGTAATTTGTTTGGTTTGGCAAAATGGATATCCGTTAACCTCAACCAAACTAAATGCAACGCTACCTGGTAGCGGCGTAAACGGATAACGGGGCAAAACACACCAAACAAAACCTTAGTGCTGAGGATCCGGTCTTGGAATCTTGAGTGTAGTCCCTGCTTTTCTTTAAGCCGCGTACTTTGCTACTGGGTCTTTTGGTTGTGGCTTCTTTGGCTTCGTGCATGCTTGATTTCATGCCTCTGCCACAATGTTTGCAACGATTGCATAAGTGATTTGCTGCTTTTACTTCAATAGGTTGTTGAATTCTTCTTTGTAGGCTTCGAGTTTTCCTTGTACTTTGCACTCATTATATATCTCTTCTCTTTGCTTTCTTCTTGCACTGTAAATGGCTTCTTCGTCGCTAGTTGTGCATATTGTTCAGCTTCTTCTCTTGATGCGAATCTTAGTCTTTGTCTTATGGAGGGATGACTACGAGGGTAGTTTTTTCTTTTGGTGCTTCGAACTAGCACTATCCGAGGTGGATGCTGGTATTCTCTTGGAGGTTTCTGGTGGATTTCCTCTTTTTTACCTCTTTCTAACATTGGAAAGCTTGGCTACAGCTATGGGTTGGCGCCAACTGCCGTCGAAGTCCTAAGGTTCCGGCAAGGGTGGAGGGGAGGAGGGGCAAAGATATTATTGTTCCATTGTTCGCCTTTCATTTCTTGTGAGCTCACTACAATGGCACTCTTTACAACACATAGACCATATTTACCCTCGCCCTTAGGCCATCATTCCTAGAATATTCCACTACAATCAGGGCTAAAACGGTCCTTACACAACCAAACAGTACAGCCTGTTCGCTTGAACTTATCAGTCGGCTTATCAGTTAGAATCTATAGTATTTTTCTCTCACAACAAAACAACTTCAGCCGACTTATGTATCAGCCGAACAGAACCTTGGCTTATGGACCTACTAGCAACCTTGTGGGACAAGCTGGTAGGTTCAAAGGTGACTTTGCCTCACTGCCACACAAAATCTCTTTCTAGCGAGTCTTCGCCTCATTGC